TTGAGCTGTCACAGATAGAGCCAGGCTATCTGCTGCTTATCTGCTGTGTCTAGCTCAGAAGTGCACCCTAGCCCAGTGTTTGGGGGATAGAGGTCTTTCTGTGTCTGAGCAACACACCCCAGTGCATGTTTCCTGTTGCAATACTGTGCAGAGTCCTTTTTTGCAGGGGCTTTAAGACCTTGTACCTGCTTTTACTACACTCTGGTATTTTATTCCTTCTGCTTTCCCTATGTGTGCCTTGAATTCTTTCCATGGTGATCTGTGCGAGTATTGTGTAACTGCCATTTTTGTTGGCTTCTGATTAGGTGAATTTGCCTCATTGTTATGATTTGCTCTTGGATTTCCAAGATATTGTTCTCGGTGACCTTGAGCAGCAGAAGCACATAACTGTAGGCCCAGCTCTGCTTATCTCTACCTGAGTTGGTTTGCCATAAACGGAATGAACTGCCTTGCTTGTGTGACTTAACTTTGGGAAAGGATCTTTAATGTGCTATATACATTTACTGTTGTCATTCTTGTTTAAAAAACCCTCTAATTTTTATTCTAGTTGATCATAGCCGAGTTAAACTGACCTTAAAAACTCCACCACAAGATTCAGACTACATCAATGCAAACTTTATTAAGGTATGTATTTCTAATTTCACTGTTTTGATCTCCTTTTTTTTTCAAGCTTTTATTTCATGTCAGTGCAGTTTTAATATTACAGTCTGAGACAAGGATGTAAAGCTGTGAGGGAAGATACTCTGTTAGAATCATACAGCCATCTGGGTTGGAAGAGACCTTTAAGATCATCAAGTCCAACCATTAACCTGTCACTCTGCTTGAGCCCCTAAACCTAAACCACATCCTCCAGCACCTGGGAAGGTTTAGATGATTTGCAAACATGATGCCATTTATAATGCAGTTTTAAAAGTTTTATATTATTCTTAAGTGGAAATACAATGTCAAATACTTCATTTTTAAGTGACAGGCAAGCAAATTAGAAATTTATACCACAGGAAAATTCAGATGTGATTGTTTTAACAGTTGATAGTGTTGAAAACCCCCAATTTTAAGAGAATCTGATTTTAAGGATCATAGATGAGGTGTTTTGTGTGTGTTAATATATGCTTCTCACTGATCATGGCAGAAATATGGCAATGGAATTATGTGTAACATTCTTAAAGAGAAGCCAGAAGTTAACTGAAAGCCTCTTACACTTTTGTTTCAAAGTATTAGTATCTTGAGCTTTCTCTGTAGCTTTATCCTGATGCTGCTTCTGCACAATATTTATATCTACAAATTGGCACAGGTTGCCCAGGGAGGCTGTGGCTGCCCCAACCCTGGCAGTGTTCACAGCCAGGTTGGATGAGCCTTGAGCAACCTGCTCTGGTGGGAGGTGTCCCTGCCCAGGGCAGGAGGTTGGGACTAGATGATCTGTAAGGTCCATTCCAATTCCTGAAGTGCTATGATTCTACAATTTATTATTCAGAAACAGGTGTTCCTGTAATTCTCCCTGCTTGAATGTTCAGGGTGGAAAGCTGAACATTAAAGTCTTCAAGATTTATATAATACAAATTTTCAAGTGTTGTGGTTTAGGAATTGGTTACTGGGAGAGAGGAACTTGAATTTGTGCTGCTTTTAGCAGAGGGATTGTCAAATTTTCCTCATTGAATGTTTGAGCAACAAAGAAAATGCAGATTTAAAGGCAATCTTCAGAATCTGAACACACAGAAACTTACTCTCTGTGACAGTCTCTGGCAATAGCTGTTGTAATCTTGGACCCCTTGAGATCACCAGCAAAATTCCCACTAATGCAATCGGGACTCGTGTCATGTTCACCCTTCCTGTTGTGTATAAATAAGGGATATTTTAATTTTACAGAATTAAAACATTTTTTTGTAATTCAATGCAAATAAACTTTCTTTGTAAATATTAATTGTTCTTTTGTGCAATCCTAGGGAGTACATGGGCCAAAGGCATATGTTGCTACCCAGGGACCCTTAGCCAATACAGTAATAGACTTCTGGAGGATGATATGGGAATACAATGTTGCTGTAAGTACCTTCTTAAAAATTGGGTGTTACCTTATTTATGACTGTATATTTTTTCTCCTGAACTAGGTATTATTGTAAAAAATATTGGCAGTGAATCAGCTCACTTACTTCCCCAATATTGGGTTTTTTTGTGTAGTTTAAATAGCATTCTGGAAATAATCAATATAATTTATTTAATTTAATGACATAAATTCAAAGCGATAATTTTATGGAATAGATAGTAAATCCTTCAGGTTCTTGCTGTGTTACATCTCTCCTGTAGGAAACCTTACAATTTTGGCTTAATGTGGACTGACAAAGTCAAATACAGAAGCAGCATGTGAAGCAAAACCAAAACCACTTACCTTTCTATTTATTCTAATTTTGGGTTACTTACTGGTTTATATATTCTACATCTATTTAAACAGCTCTTGGCAGGAATTCACTTTTAAATACTGTTAAAATTGTATATGTTCAAGAAATTATTTCTGAAAGTACTCTTTGTTTATCAGACACTGAAATCATGGTCACTTACTGTCACAAATAGGTTACCTGGTGGTGCATTTTTCTTGTGCTATTCACTTTCATGTCTCTGAAATAGCTTCACCTAATAACTTTGATTCTTTGCTTCTATTTTCTCTAGTCTATGTCATTTGAAGCAAATATAGCTGTGCTTCTTCCAGTTGGCAAGTGGTTCTGTATTTTCATGATTAAAGTTAGAGTCTACAGTCAGACTGAATAAATGAGGTTTTTGGACAGGATTGCAATGAATTTGGGTTAAGTAGCCTTAAGATGTTGCATCAGTGATGTAGATTTTGTGAAGGATGAAACTTGGTTACTGTTTTAGAATTAAAAGCATTTTTGTGCAGGTAGGAAAATACTATCACAGACCAATCAGAGTTGGAAGGGACCCTTGAGGATCATCTGGTCCAACTCCTGTCCCTGCACAGGACATCCCTGACAATCACACCCTGTGCCTGAGAGCATTGGCCAAACTCCTCCTGAGCTCTGTCAGCCTTGGGGCTGTGACACTGCCCTGGGAGCTGTTCTGTGCCCAAACACCTCTGGGGGAAGAACCATTTGCTAATCTCCAGCCTAACCCCCCCCCGACACAACTTCAGCCCATTCCCTGAGTCCTGTCACTGGTTGCAGAGAGGTCAGTGCTGCCCCTGCACTTCCTTCTATGAGGAAGTTGTATCCAGTGATGAGGTCTGTCCTCAGTCTCCTCTTCTCCAGGCTGAACAGGCCAAGTGCCTCAGCCACTCCTCATGGCTGCCCCTCAAGGCTCTTCATCATTTTCGTTTCATCCTTTAGACACTCTCCAATAACTTCATATCTTTCTTATATTGTGTTGCCCCAAACTGCACTTGATATCCAAGGTGGGACTGTCCCAGCACAGAACAGAGCAGGACAATCACCTCCCTCTCCCTCTGGCAATGCTTTGCCTGATGCACCCCAGGACAGAATTGGCTCTCCTGGCTGCCAGAGCACACTGCTGACTCATATTCAACTTGCCATTGACAAGTATTGGTTAGTCTCTTCCATAGTAACCAGTTCAGGAGTATCAGGATCTGCCTGCTAGAAGCAAACCGTGAAGTGTCAGTTGAAGTTACTGGATCTAAAACCAGCTGACTCTGAGCATCTCTTTTTCTTTCCAGATCATTGTAATGGCCTGTCGAGAATTCGAAATGGGAAGGGTATGTATCCTAAACACAAAACTGAATAAGCTTTGGCTCTGTGTGTCAATACCTGTGAAGCTTCATGTCCCAAATCCGTAACTATGACAATAATATCCCAGATGGAATGAGATACATTTCTGTGCAGAGGAAGCAGTTAATGGGGCTGCATTTCTCAACTCCATTTGTAGTGTTACATTATTATTTAGATGCCATCCCAGTGCAATATGTGTTTATCTTCAGAACTGAACCAATGGTTTGTTTCTGGTCACATCACTGTAGCAAAAAAATTGTCTTGCTCTTTGTGGGACATTGACCAGCTATCAAAATCCGGAGTCTTTCAGAATTTCCTGTCAATTGATACAGCTGCAAAAACAGTTATTTTTTTTAATCTCTCTGCTTTATTCTTATGAACTTAGAAAGAGAAAAAAGGCTCTAGAATAGTGAATTCCCAACTTTTACGACAGCTAAATGTTGATTGCTCCCCTCTGTATGATCCTTGCTTGTGTGTGTGTGGGCAGACAAGAGGTTAACCTGTCTTCTGGCTGTATTTATTGATCATCTGGGCTCTTGGTTTTGTTTTTCTTCTGTTATCCGAAAGAAAAGATATTCTGCTATCTTAAAAGAAGCCCAGGCTTGTCATTCTGTCTGCTCTGCTTCTGCTAATCATCATCTTTCAGTACTGCACATGAATTAAATTAGGATTTTTTGCATTAACAGAAAAAGTGCGAACGTTACTGGCCTCTGTATGGAGAAGCAGCTGTAACTTTTGGACCTTTCCGTGTTTCTTGTGTAAGTATAGAGATTAGAAATTAATTTGGAAGGATTTCATGCTTTTTTAAACTTAATATAAGAGTTCAGCAAACAGTTTGTGTTACGAAAGACGTGCTTTTTTAATTGTTCAGTGCTAAATTTTACACATGGACTCAAAGGAGTGTTCACCTTCATGAGCACATCTCAGTTGTGTGGTTTTCTGAGTCCTCTACTATTGTTTTATTTAAAGTAGGGAACGTAAGTGCATTGGTCATGTGTTATTTGTGCATTATGCCTTCAGTTTTACATAGTGTAGTCTTGAATGTCTGTAGGCAATGTCTGTAGACTCAAGAAATCAAATACTCATGCAGTTGTTTTGACTTGTGTGTTCTGAATGTGCATGAGAAATGAAAGTAACACTGGAATAGGATCACAGAATAATCAGAGTTGAGCTGGAGCCTTGAGGATGATCTAGTCCAACCTCCTGACCCTGCAGAGGACATCCCCAAGAATCACACCCTGTGCCTGAGAGCATTGTCCAAGTGCTTGGCCTTGGTGCTTGTGACAATTATAGGTTCTTTTATTAAGGTTATAAACAGATTGTTTTGATCAAGTTGCATAAAGTTAATTAGCATGAATAAAGGAAATAGAAACAACTAGTTTTTTTAACTTGTTTCTGTTGGTGACACAGGTTTATTTGAAAATACTTTCTTTGCTTTTGTTGGTGCTTTTAAAATCAACCCAAAAATGAGTAGCAGGTCACCATGAGGTCTGAATCTTTTCCTGAAGGATTCCCAGGGGATAACTGTAAAGTAATCATAGATTAGTTCTGTGATTCCTAGAAGGTGAGGGAAACCTGATCATTTCCATTGCGTGTTCTGTCAGTGTTGCTAGGAGTTTTGATCTCAAACTACTGTAGATACAAACCCAGTATTATATCCTCTATGCTGCATATTGATTTTTTTCCCCTCCAATTCATTACTGTTTTCTCCTGTTTAGGAAGCTGAGCAAGAAAGGACAGATTACTTCATTAGAACATTATTACTTGAATTTCAAAACGTAAGTACAAGTCACTTCTGGTCCAACCTTCAGTGGTTGCTCAAAGGTCTCTAAAAATGATACAATGGCAGAAGCTCATGAAAGTATCTTCACTGGTTTAGGTGCTGACTCTGAATGTGTGTCCATGATTAAGTTTAGAAGTGATGTTAGAAGCTTAGAACATAAGGGAAGAGCAGTGAAACTTTCTTTTAAGTATGTTCTTGGTTTGCCAAAGGTGTCTCATGGTCTTCAATAGCATATGGTTACAACTAAAGAGCTCAGTCAGCCTAGGAGAATTTCACTGCTTAATCCAGCTGAAGATGTGATGACAAACTGAATCAAACTTGTCAAAAATCTATTTTCTCTAGTTAAGCTTCTCTTTAGGTAAAATCTCTGTACTTGTTAGAATTTGGCCTTGTACTTTGATTTATTGCCAAAAGAGTTTTACCATGGTAAAAGATAGTTCTGATGCACATTCACTTATTTGTATTGCCAAGTAAAAATAAAGTAACAATGTCAATGACTTAATGGGGGTTTTTCCCTAAAGTTTGTCACTCTAGCTTGTAAAAAGTTGTTCTTTTTGGAATTGAAATAGATATGATAAATATGGAGTGTTCTTTACTAAATGGAGTTGGATTGTCTTCTTGCTTGGAGTACTTTTGCATAGGGAAACTGCATGTGACATATGCATGGGTCAAGATAAAAATGTAGTTTTAAAAGGCAGCTCAAGGCTTCAGATTTCTTCAAGATTTGATATCCCAGTGTTCGAGATGTAGAACTGCCTTACCAGACCAGAACATGAGACCTACTTCATAAACCAAGTGTGTTACATTAATGGTGAAAATGGTCATATTTCCTCTGAAATGAAAGCACTTTCTCATGTAAATGTTAAGAATGAATGATTTAAGCTTGTCTTACAAACTTATACTGGAGTGCCAGATGTCAGATGACTTCAGTTGACTGAAAAGCCACTAGCAGTAAATCAAAGCTGTAGAGCCACCTTGTAAAAACATGAAGTTTTTATTAAAGTCTGTTTTACAGAGTATCTGCCATTTTAATTGGCATCCTGTATTAAGAAATTATTTATTACACCCTAGGTTCCTTTATGGTTATGTTTTCTTTAACAATGCTCTGTTCCATTTCAACAACTGATATCACAACAGTGAAAACTGCTTAACCACGAGAAGGAAATTTGGGGGGTAATTTTTGTCTGCAGTATCTTGCTAGGTGGTTGCAGTGGAATGCATTAAATTAATCAGTTTATTTCTATTAGTGCATCCTAAATGCTCATAAGTGACTGAGCTGTGAAAGGGCCCTGGGCTTTGAGGACTAGAGGGAATGGTCATAAGCTGAGACAGGGGAGAGTCAGATGAGATGTTAGGAGAAATGTTTTCCCTGTTAGGGTGTTCAGGCACTGGAATAGGTTCCTCACGGAGGTGGTGGAGTCACCATTCCTGGAAGTGTTTAAGAGGTGTCTGGATCTGACACTGGAGGATAGGGTTTAGGGTTTAGGGGTTCCAGCAGTGACAGGTTAATGGTTGGACTCCAACCTTGATGATTCTATGAAACCTTTTAGACAGCAGAAATTCTGCATAGTTACCAGAGCTGGGAACATGTTGCACTTCAAAACAGAACTCAAGAGATAACAAAAACCCCAAAGCAGAACCTGCATTACTTTTAATACCTGAATATTGTGAGAACTAGTTACTTCAGAAACTGTAGCTAAGATATACATTTTACTTGCATATACTATACATGCAAATCATATTTAGCTATTTGACTTTCACGAGTTGTGTCCCAGTTAGATATCTGTGTACTGCTTAAACACTAAGGAGCAACAAAACGCTGCAGTTTGTGCTCTGCTTTTGATCTTAGCAAGGAGCCTGAAGTTTATGTTCCTATGAGGAGCAATGTAACTGAAAAGATTAAGAAGTTATGTTCATATTCAATCTGTGCATCTGATAGGTAGCAAATTTGCTTCAGGATTTCTGGGAAACATATTTTGTCAATGGATTACAGATTTTTTCATCTTACTTTGAAGAGTTCTAAGCGTAGCCTTGCACTGGGGAGGAAGAAGTGTGTTTGTGGTATAAAGGCATATCCTTTTAAGTTTTCTGGGTTTTTTTTCCAGAATAATGGTAAGTTTTGTCACTTCTGTAGCATTTGCAGTGGGGTGTCAAATAAAAACTATGCAAAAGAATTTAGAATTCATGTAAATATATAGAGTTAGTCTAGTTTCTACAAGGAAAACCAGTTTGGCTGAAACTTGATTATTTTCAAGAATGAACCCTGGTGTTTTAGCTTCAAAGTGGCAGTGAAAAAAGGACTATGAGGGTTCTTTTTCATTTTCATGTAAAAATAAATTCAGATGCTTTTTCTGTCAGTTCTGCCTATGTGAAAAATCACTGGTCTTTTTATGTGTACTTAAGTGACATTTCTTGGTGGACCTGAACAGGTAGCTCTAACTCTTCTTTCTTACTGACCTTGGGTTTACATAATGATCCAGATTTTGGAATTCTTTTTTTTCTTAGGCTGGATTTTCTCTTGTCTTTACTAGCTATGGCATTTCCACAGGCCTGGGAGAAGTCCAGCATCAAAACTAGCTAATTTTCCATGTTCTAAGGGGCTGCTGTATTGCTTCTCAAATAGCTAAACAAGAGATAGCACAGGTCTTGAGAGTTGTAACCTACAACATTGATCCAAAAAAAACCCCTTCAATGTAGTCTTTTCCTGTCTTTCTCCCTTTCCAAGTTGAAGACTGGAAATGCATCTTTTAACATGGTGCAGTGTTGTGGGTCCTTTAACCCATATATTGGAGAGAGGCTTCTGAAATCTGTCTCATAGTGCAATTTCTTATGCATTAGCAGCACTCAAAATACTACTTCAGAATTTCTCTTCTGTTTTTCTAAGTGGTATAAGCTGGAGGGTTTTTTAATATAGAAAGTGACTTTGCTTGTCCTTGCTTAATCATGCAAAAAGTGAAGGTTCATAGAACTACTGATTTCATACAAACTCAAATCTGTGTTCTCATTAACATCTCTCTCCCTTAGGAGACTCGTAGTGTCTATCAATTTCATTATGTCAACTGGCCTGACCATGATGTCCCTTCGTCTTTTGATTCTATTCTGGACATGATCAACTTGATGAGACAGTACCAGGAACATGAAGATGTGCCAATTTGCATACACTGCAGGTATAAAATACATTTATTTTTAAATTGGATATGCATTTTGATATGTTGAAGCCTAGACTTTTGGGTTGAGCTGCACTAAATCAGCATTTATTTACATTAGTTTAAAAGACACCCAGCTCCTCATGTCGAAACTTCAATGAACATCACAGTCTTCATTTTCTTAAAACTGATGCCACAGTGCAATTTTGCTTCTGTTTCAGTTTAAGATAGATTATCAGTCAGAAAAGAATGAGCCCTTGAAAGGGAAACTGTTTTGTGGTTCTTAAGACGTGCAAATCCTCATGAGGACAAAACAGATTTGGAAGATCATTGCAAATCAGATATGGGAGTGAAGGCTCCGTTCTCAATAGGAGAGGCTACGTAGCAGGGGCATCACTAAGGACTCTGTCTTCTCATAGGACAGAAAAGATCTTTAATGAGCAGACTGTAGTTTCCAGTTGGGAAGTCTTCAGGTGTTTTCTGTTCTGCCATTGACATGTCTGTCATTAAACTTGGACAAGATGGGGTCACCAGTGGGTTCCACAGGGCTCTGTCTTAGGCCCAGTGCTCTTCAATATCTTCTTAAATGACTTGGACACAGAACTTGAAGGACTGTGGAGTAAATTTGCAGATGATACAACATTTGGAGGAGCTGTTGACTCCCTTGAAGGCAGAGAGGCCTTGCAGAGAGACCTGGACAAATTAGAGGTCTGGGAAATCACCAACCATATGAAGCTTAACAAGGGTGAGTGCAGGATTCTGCGTCTGGGATGGGACAACCCTGGCTATATGGACAAACTGAGGAATGAGATGCTGGAAAGCAGTGCTGGGAAAAATGGACCTGGGGGGTCCTTGTTGATGGCGAGTTGAGTACAAGTCAGCAGTGTGCCCTGGCAGCCAGGAGGGACATCGTGTCCTGGGGGCATCAGGCAAGGCATTGCCAGCCAGCTGAGGGAGGTGATTGTCCTGCTCTGCTCTGTGCTGGGGCAGCCTCATCTTGGATATTGTGTGCAGTTTGGGGCAACACAATGTAAGAAGGATATTAAGTTATTGGAGAGCATCCGAAGGAGGCAATGAAGATGGTGAAGGGCCTTGAGGGGAAGCCACGTGAGGAGTGACTGAGGTCACTTGGTGTGTTCAGCCTGGAGGAGACTGAGGGAAACCTCATTGCTGGATACAACTTCCTCACAGAAGGACGTGGAGGGGCAGCACTGACCTCTTCTCTCTGGCAACGAGTGACAGGACCCAAGGGAATGGGCTGAAGTTGAGTCAGGGGAGGGTTAGGCTGGAGATTAGCAAATGGTTCTTCCCCCAGAGGTGTTTGGACACTGAACAGCTCCCAGGGCAGTGTCACAGCCCCAAGCCTGATAGAGCTCAAGAATGCTCTCAGGCACAGGGTGTGATTGTCAGGGATGTCCTGTGCAGGGCCAGGAGTTGGGCTAGATGATCCTCACCCTTCCCTTCCAACTCTGATTGCTCTGTGATTCTGTAAGATTCTGACTGTAGAAGCAGTGGTAACCAGGAATAGTGTGATGAAAGAAAGAGGTAATAAAATTGTCAGCATCGAAGCATCTTTCATGGCTGTAGTTCTAAATGGCTGTGAAAAACTTGCATTAAAAGCTTCATTTTGTATTTTGCACTCCTGACATTTTTATTGTCAGGACCAACTCTGATTGCTCTGTGATTCTGTAAGATTCTGACTGTAGAAGCAGTGGTAACCAGGAATAGTGTGATGAAAGAAAGAGGTAATAAAATTGTCAGCATCGAAGCATCTTTCATGGCTGTAGTTCTAAATGGCTGTGAAAAACTTGCATTAAAAGCTTCATTTTGTATTTTGCACTCCTGACATTTTTATTGTCAGGACATTATAGTGCCAGGTTGAGTGAGCTTAAAATGATAGTTGAGGGATTTGGATAATTTCTTTTTTTTTTTTTCATATAGACTGTGGAAATCTAAAGCTTCTGGTGTGTTTTTAACAAATTAAAATAACCTCTAACACATAACTGTTTATGTTCATAGTGCAGGGTGTGGAAGAACAGGAGCCATCTGTGCCATAGATTATACATGGAATTTGCTTAAAGCTGGGGTAAGGAATCTTGAAAGAAGTCTTGTGGCATTCTGTGGTTTCATAACAGTGATTGATTGAGCTTCTAAGGCTTCTAAAATAGTGAAACGTTTGAGATGTTCCGGAACTCTCTTGACAGGTTGGATGTGGAATTTCATTGCATTCAGGCTTTAGTGTGAACTTCATTTCCTTTGACAGCAAGTTTTTATCTAAAAGGGTCGCTGTAAAATTCTAATTTTTAAAACATAAAAGTGATTTTTGCATCGCTCAGGTTCTCTGATTAATCTTTTAGCTCATGATGATATTTCAAATATAAAGGGATAACGTCATTCTGGGATTTTTAGGTTATGGAGCGTCATTAATTTAGCAGTGTCATATTAGTGACATTGGATGCCTCATTTTGAAATTACTTGAAATGCTCTCACTGGTCTAAATCAAGTGTCAATTTGGAGTTGCTTTTAAAACATGCCATAGTTGCAGTGTGGAGAGAACAGATTAGCTTTACCTGCAAAAGTTAGGCCTGTTTTTGGATGTCCAACAGCTGTTGTATTGTTGTTCTGACAAACAGATATGTCAATGTAATTGCCTTGCTTCTGTGTTTCAGAAAATACCTGAAGAATTCAATGTATTTAATTTAATACAGGAAATGAGGACACAAAGGCATTCTGCAGTACAGACAAAGGTATGGTTTGTCTTAAACTCAGTGTAATAACACATCATTATTCTTTGTTGAGATCTCATGCACTAATTTTCACCTGGTACCCTGTTCTAGGAGCAGTATGAACTTGTCCATCGAGCCATAGCACAACTGTTTGAAAAGCAACTGCAAAAATACGAGAGTTGTGCGGACTGGAAGATTGCAGATGGAGTGGTATGTGTCTGTCCTCTATGAGTTTCAATCAGTTGTAGCTGTTTGCTTCTGATCAAGACTTTCCTGTGAAGTCTAGTTTTTAAAGTTAAGTGTTCAATGGTGCTAAGGCACAGAACCGGTTTGGATTACAGAGAGGACACTGAGGTGCTGGAGCTGGCCCAGTAAAGGGCAATGAGGCTCACTAAAGGTCTAGAAAACATGAAGAAAGACTGAAGGAATTGGGTTTGTTTAGCCTTATGAAGAGGCTCAAGGGTGACCTTTACTCGAGCTCTGCCAGGGTTAGGTTAGATATTAGGAAGAGATTTTTATGGAGAGAGTAATGCGGCATTGGAATGTGCTGCCCAGGGAGGTGGTGGATTCACCATCCCTGGAGGTTTTCAAGCTGAGACTGATGTGGCACTTAGTGCCATGGTCTAGTGACCACGGTAGGGTTGGACTGGATGATCTTGGAGGTCTTTCCCAGCGTGGTTGATTCTGTGATTCCATGGGTCTCTGCAACTCCTGACAGGGTTGGAGAGAGGTGCAGGGAGAGAACTAGAGGGATTGGCCTTGAGCGAGACAGGGGAGAGTCAGATGAGATGTTAGGAGAAATGTTTTCCCTGTTAGAGAAATATTGCCCAGGGAGGTGGTGGAGTCACCATCCCTGGAAGTGTTTAAGAGGTGTCTGGATGTGGCACTGGAGGATATGGTTTAGGGGTTCCAGCAGTGACAGGTTAATGGTTTGACATGATGATCTTAGAGGTCTCCTCCAACCTTGATTCCATGATTCTACAAGTGGATTTTGCTGAGCAGGGACAGTGAGGCTGTATTCAAGTTCCGTGGAGGACTTGGCTGTAAAAGCTGAGTCAGGTAATTAAAGGAATATTTACAACATATACCAAATGCATTTGCATTGGGGGAAGCAATGGAAAGAATTATAGTATGGATGAAATGAATAACTCTTAAGACTTGAATTGTGAAATGTGCCCTTACCTTGGGCAGGTGACAGTAGTTGTCAGCTGAGCTGTTGCTTTGACTGTCAGTGCTTTGCCCAATTCTGACATATTGGCAGCAAATGAAACTTTATGTCAAGCCTGACCTTTGGCAAATTGCTTGTTAGACAGTATGATAAAGAGCAAGTTAAAAACAGAAGTCCAGCCTACACACAGATATTTATATACAAATAAAAATAAATGGCTACACAAAAGTGTACATAGAGGAATTCTTCCTGGTCTACCATTAGTTTAAACTCTCAAAAGGGAAAGGTTTTTTCTTCCTTTCCCCAATGTAGTGTTGGGCCCAATTTTCAATCAGTAGATAAGTGTTGATCTGACTCTTCAACTGAAACTTGAGTATTGCATGTTGTTCTGCCTTGGTCTTGGCCCAACACAGCCTCAGTGTAGTTGAGCAGGTCTGGCAGTGTAAGGTCTTATTAAGTTCTCATGCTGTGTTGAAGTTCTATTTGCATTGTAATACATTGTGGGGAAGAAAAGTAAGTTCCAGGAAGCTTCATGCTCTGCCCTTTTAACAAAGCAGAAAAAAAAAGTGGAAAAATTATATTCTTCATCGGTAATAACAGTGTTTGAGGATTTTCCTGTCTTTGTGTCCTCCCACTTTAAATTTCGTGCTCCCTATGGGTTTTCTTCCCTTTTTAATGTTTGGCTATATTTTCTTGGCTGCTATTGGGAACTTTTGGGATCAAAATATTCTTTCTCTCCCCCACAGTCCACTCTGTACCACCCTTCATCCCTGGATTGTGTTGTGTTCATTCAGTGGTTTTAGCTGTCCCTTCAGTGCCTTGGTAGTGTCGATTTTGTAGCTCTAGAAAGAGTAGTATATTCAGGACCTTTTGAAATATCTGGAGGCAATTTTAAATCTGCTTTTATTAATGAACATCCCTTTAATTCTAGGGATTTAGCTGTGCAAAACTTTGCTTTCTAGGAAGTCTAGAATGCTTTTTAATCTTGGAAAAAAGGCATACACCCTTCTGATAACCACTAAGAATTTATATCAGTTCAGGCAGTACTTTGGGATCTTTAGTCATGACAAGACTAGGTTTGATTAAGGTGATCTGTGAATGAGTGTGACAGGGATTGAATGTGCAGATTTATTCGCTTTGTACAGAACTAATTACTTGTGCTTTGGTCATAAAATAATAGGTAGATCAGTGTACTGCACCTTCTGGTTATTTGACTTTGATCTGACCTATGTCTGCACTCTTACATAGAATCAAAAATGCCTCTTATTTATCTATTAACTCTTACTATATATACTACATTACTTATGTATCCCAGAACATGAGTTAGGTGGTGACACAGTATGTGGTACTGTGCCTGTGGCAAAGGCAAATGCTGTCTGTAGCACAGCTCTGAGAGATTTGCTGACTGAGTAATAAAACAGGAGCAGAGAGATGATGTATGGGTCATGTGCATGGGGGTGAGATGGGGAGAGATCCCAGCTCTGAAGAGGCAGCGATGGAGTGTGAGTTTTACTTGGATGTGATCTTGGTTTACAATCAATAAGTTGTAAAGGAAATTGAATCTTGGCAATTATTTGGAAACTGATAAGAGCAGAGAATGTAATGTCATTGTGTGGGTACTTTGCAGCTTGAATACTGTCTGCAGGTCAAGTCTGCTTATCTCAGAAGCATATTGCAGCATTCAAACATTAAAAAACTGGACGAGGATCAAAGGTGTGGGAAGGCTCCAGATTGAGGTGGAGAAGAAATGGCTGAAATTAGATACAATAGAGGCTAAGTAAAAGTGCAAAGCTGATTTCCATTAACCTTTCCTAAAGGGTATCAGTGAGACCTTGGCAGACTTAATAGCAAAGCAACATGTGTAAAAAATGCAATGTGAAACTGCAGAGCTCCTTGCTGCTGAAAGCCTGTAGTTTTGAGGTGAATATCTCCCCATCTTGGGACCTTCTTCCATGAATTTGCCCAACCTCTGACCTACGAAATTCCAGAGGTGCAGTCTTTTGGAGAACATCCTAGGGAAGGATCCCTGCATGCCTGTGCTGACCTTTTTCTTCCCTGTAAGCTTCCTTTTGGGCACTGCTGGAAACCCAGCAAAATAAATCTTTCAGTCTGACTAGGTAGAGCCTTTTTTGCATTGGGAAATGGTGCTTCTTCCTATTGTTGCTTGCATGTTTCTGCAGGAAGGTTGATGGGAAAAGAGTCTCATAGGTGAAGAATTTCTGTATCTAAAAATTAAGTACTTAAATATGCCACTGTCCAGTTATTAGGAAGTTTGTCTTCAGGGAATTAACTGGTGTAGGCTTAGCTTCTCTTTTGGTTTTGTAAGAAAGTCTTCTACCTCACATATCCACTAAAACATTTGCTTGCAGCTTTAACCTGATTGTCAGAACTTTGAGGCCCACTTGAGACAGTGTTTTTGCTATTCTGAAAAACCTCCCTTTTTTTTTGTCCTCCAAAGGTGTTATGTAGCATCTGCTTGTTGTCCATAATGTCTGATTTTCTCCAGAAATTTTCTAGTTTGTTTTCTCTTAAAAACCAAGCAAACATTCTGGTATGTGTCTTAGTTAAAAAACTAATTGATACAGGAAGTTTTCAAATAATTTTATGAAACAAAGTGTAATATTCGGAGATGCCTTCACAGATCTTGCTCTGCCCGCAGATGCTACAGCAACTGTAGAATCTTGAGCACCTAAAGGGTTTTAATTATGTCCAGTGGAAACAATTGCAGATAAAGTAGTCTCCCTACTTTGGTTATATTCCTGTTAGTTAAATAGGAGATACCAGTGGGCTGAAAAGGAAATGTTTCATTTTCTCTATTTTGATAAGACTCTGAAGAGTTGGAGTGTTCTGTAGAGTTGGTTTCATGGTTTTGTTGTGCAATTGCTGTTCTCATTTGAAGCAGGGTTGGAAATGAATCGAGTTTCTGAGGCTTTGTGAGCAGGACTTGCCAGTAACATCCCAGTGAAAAGTTAATCAGATTGGCAGCCAGTGGCAGTATTCATAGGGAAGTGGCTCAGACACAATCCTGAACGTGTGTTCCTGTGAGCTTGCCAGCATTGCCCTGCTGGAAACAATACTGTACAAAGTCAACAGCAAGGCATGCAGTGTTTGGAAATAGACTTATGATGGGGTTAGAATTTCTATTAGAGCTTGAGAGAAGGATTTGAAATGAAGTTTGCTGATGATACAACACTGGAAGGAGTGGCTGATGCCTCAGAGGGCTGTGATGCCCTTCAGAGGGACCTCAACAGGTTGGAGAGATGGGCAGAGCAGAACCAACTGAGATTCAACAAGGGGCAAGTGCAGAGTCTCCTCCAGTCTTGATGCTCCTCTGGTTGGTTTTGTCAGTACTGCTGTGGAAATACTACACTTGGTGGTGTGTTAGGAAGCTTCGAAACATATGTGAACTGACTATTCTTGATCATCTGATAAAATATTGGTCAGATTTGTATCTGTAAAATATTTTAGGAGTTATTTGAGAAGCTTCTTCTGAAGTGAACTGTGTTTGTCTTGGAAGGTCCAAATCAGATGGAATTCCATCGATATGTATGTAGGAAAAGGAAAATTGATTAAAAGGCAAACAGCCAAGTTTGCTATCTCTTCAGAAATATTTCTTGTTGGATTGTGTCTCTTGATAGTAACAAGCATGTTACAGTGCTGCAAGTCCTTGTTTTGGCCTTCCCCAGGAGCTGAAGCTTGTATGAATAAGCACTCTCTCCAAAATCTGGCATTGGTAGTACTCTGAAGTGTCTCTTGCATTTCTTGCTGTAAAAGTGACAGAATTCTGTTGCTGTGGTCAATTGCACTTTTAGGATTCCTGGAGGAATGAGCTGCTATAAGAAAAACGTTGATATTTAAAATGTTAAAGGTTTAGAAACTCTAAGTGAAAAGACTTTGTTAGTATTCTCTTTGCTGTTTTGCAGCTTGGAAAGATATTTTTCCATTGTAGCATTCTGAAAAATCCTATGTGTCTTTGGAGACACTTATCTTCTCTCTTCTGCTTGGCATGTTTTATTTAATCTGAGTTGCTTGAGTGTATCAT